AGATATAGAAAGTTAATCATTTCTATGTATACGAATGGAAGAAAAATAGATATTTGTGGTCTTTTATAAATTAGAGCTTTTTAAAATGTAAATTTTATTGTATACATTTGGGATTTTACAGTAAGATATGGGATACCTTTAGATATTAGAATGGTTACTATGGTGAAGAAAATTAACATAACAATACCTCACAAAATTACTTTTATGTGTGACAAAAGCAGGTCAAATAAATCTTTTCAGATAAAAACACTTTGTAGACACTATTTTATTAGATTTTTACAATAGCTTTTTAGGAAGGAGATTTTCATAATCAGGTGACAAATAAAGAAAACATATTTGGAAAAGTCAGATAAGATTTATAATTTTCTACACTTAACAAACAGTAGCAAACAGTAGACCTTAAATGAGTAAACATTAACATTTATGGTTATGTATCTTCAAAGAACTTTTTGTGAAATCATGACTGTCTCAACACCAGAATATGGTGTACATTTTCCTGAAGGGTGTTGTTTCTTTAGTCAATAACTGCAGGAATGCCGAGTGCACATAAATCTTCTGTATATATGAAGAATATTATGATTTGGATTTGATTGTTCCCCCAAACTCTGATGTGCTCAGAGTGGTGTGTGGGAGGCGATCAGATGGTGGGTTGCTGTACTTACCGGTGGACTCACCTACTAAGTTCTGCAGCTGAGTGTGTTGTTGGGGTGGGGGATGCTGGTTAAAGGAGGGCCAATGTGGTGCAAATGGGAAGGATCTGTCTCCCTCCCTGACTCCTCCCCTTCCTTGCTCTCTACTTCCTGATCACTGTGATAGAAGCCCAATATACTGTTTCTCCCTTGGAGCCAGCTGGCCAAGCACAGACTCAGACCTTGGGCACTGTGACCCAAAATAAAGCTTTCCTCCTGGAAATTGTGGGTGTCTGATATTGTGTCTCAGTGCCCTGAAAGTCACTGAGATAGGAGACTTTTGAGAAAGAGTCAGTCACTCTTCCTTGGAGCATGAGTTTGGGAGGGCTGGAATGATTCCTGATGTGATAGTATGGATGGATGAAAATATTGTCCCTCAGTGGCTCCAAAACATAGACAAGCATCAATAGATAATAATAAATGGTTTGACCATTTATTATTATGTATTAATTCTCAAATACTTACAAGATAAGGTGCAAAGGTTTGTGAATGAGGTCTTCACTAAGTGGAACTAAGACTTCATTGTCCACTGCTGCATTATACTCATTTGAGTCTTTTAACATAGTGACACCATGGTCAGGTGGCAGGTGCACTTCTCAGGTAGGCATTTGTATGAACTGTCTTCATCTGATGGTAGCTGGGTGCCTCCAGTGATCAAGCAAAGTCTGTTCTTCCATGTTGATGAATTGTGGCTTCCATTCTGAGACTGGCCTTTGTGGAGAAGTTTTTCACCCATAAAACTCTTTATTGTGCAGAAATCTGAAAAAAAGAAATCTTAAGTACTTCACACTTTTGATCACTGTTGGCCTGGCATATATTAGAATTAGTGACCTAGAGCTGCAAGGCTTGGTGTTCCCTCACCAATTACCCCCCTGGGCCAACTCCTACCCCATATACACATGATTACTGGCCTTCCTTCACCCATTAGGGTTCTGACCCCAAAGGAAGGTTAAAGAGTTTGTTTCCCAACTATAGAATATCACTCTATAAAACATTTCATCCATGAAGGGCAATCACAGTTGCACTCGTTGGAAAAAACCAGAGCACTGCTACCTCGTCACATAAAGAACGCTTGTTGCATTTTAAAAGAAGGGTTACATTTACCCTCTGGGTTTAGAGATACCAACCCATAACTGCAAGTAGCATTTATACACTACTGGGTCTGGCTGTTAATTGACTGGACAGTCAAAATTGCGTGCAGCCAGGGAAAATGTCAACCTTAATCTTCCCAAAGCTGCTTCAGAAGAGAATTAAATGGAAAGCAATTTTTATCAGAATTAAACCAGTAGTGTGAGTTTAAAATGGAAATAGTGAAGGTGACAAGAGAAATGAAGAGATATTTAAATGAACTTTAAAATGTGCATTGCATGCATAGTTCCTTGTAGTTTATTTAAATGTTGCAACAAATAAATTAGGTAAATTTTCTAACATGTGACTTTGTTTGGTCTTCACTTGGTTTTTAATTGTATCAGTTATGAAATTAAGCATCAGAAGGTGAAATAACTTGGCTTGATGCTAGCAATTAGAATTGTGGTTGTTGTGGGTCACACCCAGCTTTCTTTGCTATTACATTATAGGAGGTTTCAATTTTCTATCCTGTTTTATATATTATAAAGCCTCCGTGATGCCAAACTTGTGACAGAGAGACTCTGGTGGTTAGAGGGGAGTGTTGGCTGTGGGATCTGCTTGGGGAATTGGTGCAGTACACTTCTGGGTGTGTTGGGGCTGGGGTCGTGAGGATGTGGCACTGGGGTCTATGTCTCTCCCTGGACTCTTCCTGTCTGGCAATGTTCTGTTGCTCTGCTTTTGGTTGCCGTGACCTAAGCATCTTTGATTTGCCTCGCCTTCACATTATAAGGTTTCTGCTTGGAGCCCATTGACCATGGAATGCAACCCCTGGAACTGTGAGGTAAGTTAAACCTCTCTTCCTTTAAATGTGGGGGGATATTGGATATTTTGTCCTTGTACCGAGAAGTTGACTGACACAATGACTTCACACAGCTCTTCACCTAATTTCACCTCTTCCTCAAAGACAAGAGTTTGACCATTCTCAAGTAGCTTTCTTCAGAATTTCCAGAGGCCAGGGCACTAGGAGTCACCCAGTATTTGCAACAGAAACTTCCAGGAAGTAATTAAGGATGCAAATTGCTCAGCTGTCTATCAGACCTCTGAATCAGGCTCTGTGGAAATGAAGGCCTGGCTGTGCTCGTTTAGGAAGACTGTCAGGAAGGCTTAGGTAGATAAGCTTCAGCAGCACTTTTCTATGGCGAGGATGCGGCTGAGTGTGAAGCTGATTTGCATCATTTCCAGAACAAGAATCACTAGCTGCAAGGCTGATGTCCATGAACATCCATAGTCCTGCGGGGCTGGTGTAGCCCATAAGAGGTGTCAGTGGGCATCTGTGGACGTTAGGGAAAAGATTACAAAATTTCTTTAAAATATACCTGAAGATGTTAAAACATTTTATTCTCTGAGAAACAATGAAATTCTTGCATTAGAGAGTTACCAGATTGTTTTGCAGTGAGTCTTGAAGGTTTTATTGCAAACCTGTTTTCTGTTCTAATAGATTTGTTTGTAGAACACTTGAAAGCAGAGAACTCTTCAGTTATGAGTGTGAAACAATGTGTCCACTCCTACCATGTGGTGAATAATCAGCCAGTTTGGGGAACTGCAAAAGCTATGTCACAAAATAAATGGCGTAAGTGTCCAATGCATAGTTGGACCAGAAGACATCTGAAAATAAAACTGAGGAAGGGAAGAGGGGAAACTTCACAGGGGTGGGGAATGGAAATTGACAGTAGGAGCACATCAACCAAGTTTTGTGTTCTGCCTGGCTTTGTCTGGGGAGGTTGCAGCTCACTACCTGTTACCCACAAGAGACTGACTAACATAGGTGATAAATGCTCCTTTTGCTGCTCACAAAACCCCTGCATGAGAAGTACTTCAGAAAATCAACAATGGGGATCTGATTTCATCAAAAAGTTTGTGCCCATCAAAAGAAATCACTTACAGAGTACACTAACAGAATGGGAAAAATATTTAGCTAACTGTCCCTCAGACAAAAAACTTATATTTAGAACATATAAAGAATTGAAAGAACTCAGGCCACTTAAATTCAAAGACCCAAACCAAAAATGGGCATCTGATATGAACTTCTGAGGCAACAAAAAACTTATATTTAGAAAATATAAAGAATTGAAAGAACTCAGGCCACTTAAATTCAAAGACCCAATCCAAAAATGGGCATCTGATATGAACTTCTGTGATGAAGAAATACAAATGGCAAATAAATACATGAAAAATGTTCAGCATCATTGGTCATCTGAGAAATGCAAATTAAAACACTGAGATTCCATCTCACCCCAGTAAGAATGGCTATCCTCAAGAAATCAACCAATAACAAGTGCTGGAGGGACTGTGGGGAAAAAGAAACACTTCTCTACTGCCGGTGGGAGTGTAGATTTGTGAAAGCACTCTTGAAATCAGTGTGGAGATTCCTCACAAAACTAAGATTAAGTCCCACTTAACCCAGCTATTCCCCTTCTGGTATTTTTCAGAAGAATTAAAAACATCATACCACAGCTATACATGTGCACCCATGTTTATAGCAGCAAATTTATAATATCTAAATTTGGAAACAACACAAATGCCCATCAACTGAGGGATGGATAAAAAAGATGTATTTTTATACAATGGAGCATTACTCAGCTATAAAAAAGGATAAACTTGAGGCTTTTATGGGTAAATGGATGCAAGTAGAGAACATACTCATAAGTGAAATAAATCAGACCTGGGTATGGAAACATCATATTGTCTCCCTAGTGTAAGAAACTGAAAGGGTAAATGAGATCCAAAATGTACAATAGCTTTGTGAAATGGGAAGAAACTACTCAAACGGAAAGAACAATTGGGATGGAGGAAAGGAGAAAAGAAGGAAAGGAAAAGAAAAATATATATATACATATATATTCAAGATAGCTAAGATAGTTATACTACTAATTTCTATTAGTTCATTGAAAAGAAAGGTTTGTGCTTATACTATCTGAGTATTTTTCATGTTGATATATTATAGTCTTAGCACCTACTTTGAAGATAACAGTATGCAATGTATTAGTCATTGTTAACCTCCTATTATCTTGTTTTGAAGTTTTGTGTCATTATTGTTATTGTTTTTCTCATAAAAAAGAAAAAGAATGCACATCCTGAAAATCGAGCTTATTTCAAAAAGTTCTATAAGAAAGTCATGCTTCCGCTACACAAAGGAAGAGGAATTTAAACACAGCATACTAACTGGACTTCTTTTATCATCAGCTATTCAAAGGAACCTGAATGATTTCGGCAAAGAATTAAGGCTTTTAATTTCTTCACAAATGGAACAATAGCAATAATGTATATTCCATGTGATGTATAAGTAATAGGTGAGTGTCAATATGTACATCTTTGTAATTTATAGATTTTACTTGATGTATATAAATATAGATGTTTTTGCACTGATACAGCTAAAATATTTGTACAATTATTGCTTATATTATTCAAATAATTTAGGAATTTCCAGTGTTTTGCATTAATATTCATACCAACCAAGATTAAATATTGTCCTAAAACAATCCTACTTACTATAAGTAAGAACCAGAAAATATGGCATTGAAATTACTTTAAAATTATAGGATACTGTAAACTACTGTGGGATTTCACTTCCTTTCTTCCTGAATGACTTCGTGTCACTAAACCAGATGGTCCTGATGAGCGTCCTCGTCTTGTGAACTGTATTCCATGGTTTATTGGGTCTGACAGACATTCTCCATGTTAGTTTGCACTAAGACAATTTTATATGTACACTAAATATAGGATAAGATGCATTTCCATGTGAAATATGTTTGACAAATAAAGGGAGAGTGTTTTAAATTGGAGAATATGGGGGAAAAGAATTTGGATCGCTGAAAAGATATTCTTGGTATTTCTCTATGGAGAGAAACAGCAAAGACAAGTATTTAGGTCTCTCAAACCTGTGTGGTAAGAGTACTCTCTCTCTCTCTCTTTTTTTTTTTTTTTTTGTATCCCAGGAATCAGGACCTTGCTGTGCTACTGAGTTATATCCTGGCCCTGGTAAGAGTATTCTTGCATTGATTGAAAAATAAACGTGTTTCCTATTTCTCTTTGGGAGATGCCTGTGTGCCAAGAAAATCAAACTTTTTCATCCTTCACATCGTCCATATCCCTTGGCGGGGCTGAGTTGTGCTGTGGTGGGACAGAACCCCCGAAGCTCAACAGCCCACGAGATGCATTTTAGTTCTCATTCACTGCCTGCATGCAGGTTCTTCTGCTGCGTACACTGCCTTTGCTCTTAGGGATGCTTTCTGATCTGGCCCTTCACCAGATTCTGCAGCCCAGGGAACTAGTGTGCTGCATTCCATGGTTTATTGGGTCTGACAGACAACAACATGCTTTGCCCTAAAGTTATGGGTTTTTTTTTCCCCTCACAACTCTTTTGCAAGAATTTGTTTTGTAGCCTTGTCCAGGAATAGTGAGCCAGGAATAGAGATGCTCCTGCATGCTTGAAAGAGAGAAATGAAATACTTTGCAACACTCGTGTTTATTACAACATCCATCCCATGGTTACTGCTGTCTACGAACACAGAGCTGTTAAATCACGATGAAATCATTAGGGGAAGCAAATCTTTGGGTGATTAAATATTTTACACAATCAAATTCCTGCATTTAACACTATTTTTCTAGGCTAAAAACTAAAAGAATTTACTGTGAATAAATGGGAAGGTATCAGATACTTAAAGTAAAAATGGAGGAATTTTAGAATCCTTGAGTGAAAGTTGAAACTCTGAAAAGGTTTGCGGAGAGCAGGTGTCGTGGACAGGTGCCTGCGGGCACGCTGGAGGGCTAGGCCAGCTTTTCAGGGGGAACTAGCTTGGGCCACGTAAATACAAACTTAGTTTAAAAGAACTTTAAGAAGAAACATGGTTTATCCAGAATGGCAAATTAAGGAAATTGTGTTAAAGTTATTTATGCTCCACAAATATCAATGAATATTTTGCATAATAAATATCATTTTTACTTGTCCAAATTCAGGGCTTGAATATACAATGAAACAGGCAGTGTTACAACACTATATAAGGTTCCTCTCTTGGAAAATATGTAATTTGAACCAGAAATTACTATATACTTTTCATCGCCAAGCTTGCATAAGTAGAAAATTTGCAATATAAGAAATTTAACATGTTTTTAAAAATCAGGTATTAACATCAGGTATTAACACTGAAAATAATAGAATATAAATGGTAAATTAGCATGCAGAAGCAGATGACAATATTTTTATCTACACAGTTACACAGCTTTCTACTGAATATATTTGTTCAAGTATTTACTGGTTTCATTTCTTCTGTGGGTGAAAATGTTTATGTTTCTTGGTATAAAAATAAAATTAATCTATTGGTTATTAAAAATTTAAAAAAGAGTTTTTCTTATTTTATTCCTGCATTTTAACTGAGTAATGCACTCACACATAATACAAGAGGGCTGAGGATTTAGCTCAATGGCACAGTGCCTGCCTGGCAAGTGCAAGGTCGTGAGTTCGACTCCCGGTACTGGAAAAAAAACAAAAACAAAACCAAAAACAAACAAAAAGAAAAAAAAAACACAGAACATAAGCATATAGCCTTTATTATTATTATTCTTTTATTTTAAAAATTTAAGAAACTGACCAAACAACAAAGCCTTTATTATTATTGCAATATCAGTATCTGTATATTGAATATGCACAGTAGCAGAGAGGATTAGAGTAGGTAAAGGATAAGAGGATGAGAAGGAAACACCAAATGATAGGCTGGAACACTAAAGTAGTACAGATGGTGAGTTATAATTCCTCACAGAATACATAACACATTTTCTAAACATCTCTGTTGCTCTCCATACAGTGGACACTTGTGAGACTAAAGTAAGACAGAGTATTTAGGGGTGTTGCTCATACCAAAGCACCACGCATAACATGGCTGTAACAACAGGATAATATGCTAGCCATTAATGAAAAACTTCAAATTGGATGACTGGACAAAGATCAATTAGCTGTGTTGCCTTTGACATGAAACAGAAATGTCAAAGTGTAAGATGTGAGAAATTATACCCTATCAACAAAGTAACCAGTTTGCTGACCTGCAGAGATGTTAGGAACACTGGCATTCTTCCCTGGCTCTAGTTTGCCTGGACTTTTTTTTTTTTTTTCCGGTACCAGGAATCAAACTCATGACCTTGCACTTGCCAGGCAGGTGCTGTGCCACGGAGCTAAGTCCCTTGTTGCTGGAGTTATTTTTTGAATGAGAAGGAAAGAGAATTGTTGTAGAATTGGATTTGTTGACCACTAGCTTTCATTTTCGTACTTCAGCATATATAACAGGTAAGTCAACTCAAAATATTAGCCATTTAAAAAAACACTCACAGCTCTCTGTTGTAAAAGTAGATACTGAAATAGTTGGCTATCATTTCTGACCTTTCTCAATTGGATTTTAAAAATCACTTACACTTAAAATAATATTCTGAAGTTTTCATGTCAATTTCAAATCAACACGCAGCTAGTACATATATTTATATCTTGAATTAATACCTCCTTCAATGCTGGTTTATTTTAAATAAGATCACTTTTTCTAGAAATAGTGACATTTGTTAAGAGGCTTGAAAAACAGAATATGAACATTTCTATATACAATGTGTCCCAATATTGATGGAAGCAGAAACGTTTCAGAAATTACTTATAAATTAGTGACTGAGACATTAGGATAGGAAAATTTTAAAGAACTACATTAAAGACATTGTTGACTGCTTTGTTCAGGGCTTTGGTGTATATGAGAATGGTTTTAAGGAACTACAGATTTCAGAGAGAGAGATTAAACTTAATTAAACTTTGTGCATTTTGTCTTCTTAAATCATTAGATGTTTAGCCAAAGGACATCAATGACTATGTGACTTTTGTTTATAGGTTTATACCTGTCTGATCCCACGTGGCCTGTCACATATTAGGCTCTGAATTAACATTTATTGAATTCTGAATAAAAAAGAATATGCTAATGAGTATGGAAGATGGATTAACACAGGGAAGATAGAAACTGAGGGAAATTTCATAATACATTAGACATGTTTAGGATAGAAAGGATATAGTGAAACAGAGATGATTCTTTGTCTAAACCTGTGTTAACTGCAGTAGCTACTTAGCTCAAGGTTCAGTTTGAATTAAATAAAATTAAACAATATTAGAAATTCTATTTCTCAATCACACAAAACATTTTAAAATACTCAGTGGCCACATGTGGTTGATAGGTATCACACTGGATGGCATGAGGGGAATGTTTATGTCAACCCAGTTATATCTTTTGGACAGTACCCATATAGAAACCTGGAATGACTGAGCTCTCTTCAAAGATAGAGCAGTATTTATAATAGCTTCTTGTTTAATATGTCATGGTTTTAGAAAAATTGCTAAATGTCTAGACAAAGCTATCTCAGAAGCCCTGTTACATATCCATAAAAGAGAGAGAATAACGAAAATATTCCCAGTGTTGAAATGGTGGTTAGAAAATGTACCAACAAAATGATAGATATTGAATTTGGATTAAAGATGAAGTTTTAGGATAAACATATTATGTGTGAATGTATCATGTTTAATTCCTATTGTGGTGAATGAAATTGCACCTATTCATATGTTGACTATTATGATGTGTTGTATTTTATTTGTTGAAGGAATTGAAAATATAGCTTTTATCAATTATGTATTTAATATATTTAATTTACTAAAATTTTTAAATGTTTTAGGTGAATAATGTGATGACATGATGCATATGCATTCTGTACTAATTACTAGTCACATGAATTCATTCATCATCATCCATGGTTACCATTTTTCTTTTTTATTTATTTTGCATGAGTACATGCTTGTGGTAGTACACATATCATGGGGAGCTCGCACACATCCATATTGCATCTTAATCCTTTTTACTCCTCCTCTCTTTCTCCTGTTTTTCTTCATTTCTAGATCCCCATTATCTTAGTTACTTTCCTTGTTGATGAGATAAAATACCTAGCACCCAAAGTTGAAGGCAGAAAGGTTTATTGTAGCTTACAGATTGTACAGGTTTCAGTCCATCATCGGCTGGCTCCAAGGCAGGGTGGCATGGCAGGGGAGCATCACAGAGGAGAAACAGTTCATGGCAGGCAGAAGCCACCCTGCTCTGTGCAAGCCACACCTATGACCACATGACACTTTGGGGAGACATCTAGACACAAGCAATTAATCTATTTATTTAGTTTATTTTTTGGTACTAAGAATCAAACTCAGCACCTTGTGCTTGCCAGGCAGGTGCTGTGCCACTGAACTCTATCCCCAGCTCCCTGTCCCTGTCCCAGTTTTAGATGATATCAGACAAAAGGAGAATGCGTCTGATATAGTGATATGCATTGATAGAAATAAACTAGACAGTAGAAGCTAGTGAGTGATAACACAATGCTTTGGTTAATTTTTTAGCTGTAATGTTCTCTTTCTTTTAGAAAAGCAGCTCCCACGAAAAGAAGAACAATGGACACACCCACTATTTGTAATCTTTGTTTTGTTAATAATTTGACCTGAGGTAGACTGGGACTAGCAATCTCATTCTTCTCAAGGAACTGGATTCTGAAGTAAAGTCACTCGCTGGGTGTATCTACTTTTCACCAACATTACATTTTGGCCAGCAGGAGAGGGAAGTTGCTGTATTAATAAAGTCTGAAGAGGAAATGAAAATGTGTAAGGTAAAATGAGGCCAGATGTGTTAATTGCTAAACAAACATCATCCCATTTTTCTGGCCATTTCTAATGAATATGAAGAGATTCAAAATAATGCTAATTCCAATTTTTTTTTTCCACTCTCTGCCTCTACACAAAATCTTCAGTGTGCCAGAATCACATTTCAATTAATTTCCTAACAAATATCTTTTACTTCAGTTTGATGGGGGAAAAAAGGAAGAGCAAGTTGCTTTGTTAAGAGATGTAACTGGAGAAGCAATTTTGAAATAAAAAATTGTAAGCAAGTTAAAAGTGGTATATTCAAGTTAAAAGGATAACCAGAGGG